ACCTGAACAAAGTGATCCGAGACTTCACACTCTTAAAGACCAAATACCGGGAATGATGAGGCCGGGGTGTTCGGAAAAATATTGCGTTAAAACTTTTACCGGATGTTTTGCACTGAAAAAATCAAGTAAATCAAGTTTTCACAGTTAATGAGGTCATTTCTGTTACAGCGATGCCATTAGGATGAAAAATGTGGAACTTAATAAACAGGAATCAGATACTGCAGCACAGAGGAGATGCTGTTTAATGCTGCAAATTGGATGCTTTGCAAATGGCACCTCACTATTTTAGAAAAGAGCAGGAGGTAAAACAGGGAGCAGCGGGCACAGCCATTTATATCAGGAATAGGGAAAATACTACAATCGATCATTTAGGATGTAATAAGTGCAAACTTGGATAAAAATGATCTGATTGGGCACAAACAGCATGGGTTTGTGAATGGAAGATTATGTTTCAGGAAGTTGAAAATGTTTTGAGGATGTTACAAACAAACATATGATGGATGTAGCCTATTTGGATTTTTCAGAGGGCTTTGATAAAGTTCCCAATAGGAGATTAGTTAGTAACATTAAAACACATGGTTGGAGGTAGAGTACTGTCGTGGATTGAGGATTGACTAACAGTCCGAAAACAGAAGGAATAAATGATTCATTCTCCCTGTGACCAATGGGGTACCACAAGGAGCAGTACGCAGCCCCCAGCTGTTCACAATATTCGTCAACGATCTGGATGTGGGTCTGAACATCCTATTTCCAACTTTGTAGATGATATAAAGCTAAGTAAGAAATGTGTGTTGAGGAAGATGTGAAACATTAAGAGGGTTTGGACAGGCTTGGGAACTGGTCATGAGCATGGCAAATGGAATACAATGTGGGAAGATGTGAGGCTATCCACTTTGGTAAAAAAACGCACATGCAGAGTATTTGGGAAGATGTCAGGCTATCCACTTTGGGTTGAATGGCTTCCACCGAGTTGGTAATAACTCCACAACACATTCTGAGCATTTTTCACAAGATCCAGGCTGCTCACCACATGAAGCTAGGCATAACCAGGCTGGTATGGTGGCTCAGTGGTTAGCACTACTGCCTCACAGCACTAGGGACCCGGGTTCAATTCCACCCTTGGGTGACTGTCTGTGTGGAGTTTGCATATTGCCTGCGTGGGTTTCTTCTGGGTGCTCCAGTTTCCTCCCACAGTCCAAAGGTGTGTAGGTTTAAGTGGATGGGCCATGCTAAATTGTCCCATAGTGTTCAGGAGTGTGTGAATTGGCCATGGGAAAGGCAGGATTACAGGGAGCGAGTCAGTGGGTGGGATGCTCTTCAGAGGGTCAGTGTGGATATGATGAACTGAATGGCATGCTCCCACACTGCAGGGATTCTAACTAGGAATGTTTGGCATATATCATGCCAAGATACCCCCCTCTCAAGGTTAACTGTTAATTGCGGTGTTGATAATTTTTTATCCAAAGACATCTCTTTAATTTGCCAAACGTTGAGGATTTATCATGGGAGAGTGATTCTCTGAAAAACCATCGGGAGACGGGAGACAGAAAATGAGTGCAGATCATTCAGAGCATTTTGAGAAGTCACACAGTTACACCAACTGTTTTTCTAAAATCATTTGCGGATGTGGGTGTCACTGGTAAAAGCTGACATTATCACCCATCCTTGACGGAACTCCAGAAGGTGATGTCGCAGGAACAACACAATTCCCTTCTTAATCAAAATTATTACAACAAAAAGCCAAGGTAGAGGAAGTTATTTCAAGTTTAGGATTAACAAGCCCGAAAGAGAGAGGAAGAGATTAGCCTGTGCTCTATAAGTGAAGGTCACTCAACACAATGGCAGTGCAGATACTGTCAATCACCTTTGACCTCTCTACTGCGGAGACTCCAGTAAACACTCTGGGAATCGCTTGTGGCTGAACTGCAAGAGTTTGTTTGATGGTTTGGGAGGAACGTCAGGCAGCCTCGTTATTTTTAGAGCAGGGAAAAGTGTTCTGTTCCCCTCTCACAGGCCCATGGATAAACTCAGTCAGAAACATCTGCAACAGCAAACAGGAACCCAGAGATTAGACAGCACCGTCAGAGGGTCAGTGCTGAGGGAGCGCCGCACTGTCGGAGGGTCAGTGCTGAGGGAGTGCCGCACTGTCGGAGGGTCAGCACTGAGGGAGCGCCGCACTGTCGGAGGGTCAGTGCTGAGGGAGTACTGCAGTATCAGAGCAGTAGCCTATTGGATGAGGTGTTCACTAAGCGCTGAGGACGAGAGGGTGACTGGAAGGAAAGGAGAGGACAAGTTCTGTAGTTTCCCAGACAACGCTTGCCCGTTAACCATCATGTAGAAAGAAAACGTTGCTGTGGATATGGGAAAGTGAATGTGAAATGTAAAGTGCCTATTAGAGCTTAGACCTTAGAGCTTCACCTTCCCTGTTCTGACTGAGTGTGAGAGACACACACGGTATCATTTGCAGCTATCACCAATCATTTGTAACAAACTCTAATGCAAATTTTATAAGTACTTTTTACAGAAAATAATATTTCACATGTACACAGAAATATTGTCAGTGTTTCTATCTGACTCCATCCTGACCCAGTCCACAATATCACACTGTAGAGACCAAGCCTTCTGCTCCCTCCCACTCCAATCTCGGCACTGACCCCCCTCCAAACACCAGGACATATTCCAACTTGATTTAACAAGCTGGGGTTCTGATTAAAACTCCAGAGGATTGGTGATGAATATTAGGGGCATTGGGAACATGAGGGGCTTGGGATATGTGCAGAATGGGATCATTGTTTTGCGAGGTGGGGGAGATTTTCATTCCTCAGTATCGTGGTAGGGGTTATCAGGCTGTATTCTCTGTCAGCCTGGGGAAAACTACTCAGGATGCTCATCGTAAAATAACCAGGATTTAACAGTCACCACGCTGTGAAATCTCTCATCATAAACTAACCGGGTCCAGATTTCAGGGCGTTCCCAGAGACTGCTGTGATCATTGGGATTAGGGAGGGTTGAGCAGTTTCTAAGGGTTATGCAGGGCTGTTCTCTCACTGCGGGGGGAATGGGGGAATATCACTCTGGGTGGGCACTGAGAATTCAATCTGTTCAATAATGCGGGCTTCACTCAGTCTCTGCTCGTTCCCCTTGGTCAGTCACAGTAGCCCAGGCAATGAGGGGAAGGTGGGGAACTTTTACCATAATGTAAAAGGGGCCCAGCAATTCAGCAGCTCATCTCCATTCCCAATGCTTATTTATATTAACTCCTCTTCACCCGATCCCACATTGACATGATCCCCCACTGACCTGATCCCTCACTGACCTGATCGCCCCCATTCTCCCGATCCTCCCCCCCATTCTCCCGATCCTCCCCCATTCTTCTGATCCACCCCATTCTCCTGAGCCCCCCCCCCCTCCCCCCCCCCCCCCATCCTCCCGACCCCCCCCCCCCCCATTCTCCCGATCCTCCCGCCCCATTCTCCCGATCCTCCCTCCCAATCTCCCAACACCCCATTCTCCCGATCCTCCCTCCCATTCTCCCGGGCCCCCCCCTCTCCCCGGGGCCCCCCCATTCTCCCGATCCCCCCCCCGCTACCATTCTCCTGATCCCACCCCCCATTCTCCTGAGGGTCTTATCCAGAGCCTCCCCAGAGTGGGGTGTTTTATGTATTTGACCACGTCAGGGTCAGCACTGAGCACCATTCTGCAACAACCCTAGCCCCCACCCCCCACCTCTCCCCTGACTCCCTGCCCCACTGCCCTCATTCCCAGGGGAGATTGGGCGCTGTTTGCCCCCCCCTTCTGGGTCAGTGTGAACCCCCCTTCTCTCTCTCTGTTTCTCACAGCAGGTCTCTGTCTCTGGGTTTCCATTACAGAGCGTTCGGACTGGGCAGCTGATTGCTTTCTGGGGTTTCATGGTCCTGCTGAGGGGGAGGCTCCGACTGGCTGGAGGGGGGCACCACGTCCAGCCGTCTGTCTGTGTCCTCTGCGACATTGGCCACCAGTTTGTGGAGGATGGGTGTGGTTGGGATCAGTGCCTTTTTGGTCAGGGTGCCATTACTTCCTGCTGGGCCTTGCTGGGTGGCCGAGGGGCAGGGGTCATCGGGAGAAGTGGCCTCACTCTCTGATGGTCTTGGCTCGAGTTTCTTCTGCAACCTGCGCTGCATCTTGGAGACGTTCTCTCCCCGGGTTCGGGGACCCGTTTCCTCCCGGGGAGCCGCACGCTGTCTCTGGAAGCTTCCAAACCTTCTCAGCATTGCCTGCACCGTCCCAACTCCCACCCCTTCCACGGTGCTGGCCCAGATCCTGGAGGAGCGCTGGGCCTTCCCCATTGGTAGCTTCTGGCTGCTGTGCCCAACCTGGGCATCAGCTGGTGTCAGCAGGGAGCCCCTTGGCTCTGAATCCCGAGGGTCTCTGATGTCCGTGGTGGAGGGGCTCCTGTCCTCTCCAGCACCTACCCTGGGAGAGGTCTCGCTGGGGCAGGAGTGGGCACCACTCTCAGGGTAGACAACACCAGGGAAACTGGTACGCTGGTGAGGCTGGCATCCTGCAGGGAGGCAGTCACTCTGCCCAGGCTCTGACACAATGGCTGATAATTTACTGAGCGTCCAGGACAGCTTCCTTTTCCTCTGGGCATTAGCCGCAGGGATGGCCCTGCTCTCGGGCATTGAGCCCCGTCTCAGCTCGGGCCCAAACTTGGTGCCTTCAGCAAACGAGACCGAGGGTCGATGAGCCTTGACAATGCTGGAGGTGCGAGGAATGGTCAACGGCTGCACAGTGTCCTCACTGTTCGCCTCCAAGTGCTCCACTGGGAAATAGTTGCACCGCGAGTTCAATTCCTGAAAGCCAGATCCAGGAGCCAGCAACACACTTCCTGGGAAATAAAGGAAAAATGTTCAGATCATCCTCTCATTTCAATTCACCATTGGTTTGCATCTCCCACCCTGAAGGTGCTGATTATCCCTGGGATACTAATGTCTTCTGTTTCCTTTGATATTTCTTTGATACTTTTTTAAATTCATTCAGGCAATGTGGGTGTCTCTGGCTGGGCCCAGCATTTATTCCCCGTCCCTAGTTGCCCCCCTTGAGAAGGTGGGGGTGAGCTGCCTTCTTGAACCGCTGCAGTCCACGTGCTGTGGGTTGACCCACAATATCCTTAGGGAGGGAATTCTAGGATTTTGACCCAGTGACAGTGAAGGAACAGTGATATATTTCCAAATCAGGATGGTGAGTGGAACTTGGAGAGAGGGTGTGGTGTTCCCATGTATCTGCTGCCCTTGTCCTTCTAGTTGGAAGTGGTCGTGGGTTTGGAAGGTGCTGCTTGAGGATCTTTGGTGAATTTCTGCAGTGCATCTTGTAGATAGTACACACTGCTGCTACTGAGCGTCGGTGGTGGAGGGAGTGGGATGTTTGTGGATGTGGTGCCAATCAAGCGGGGGCTGCTTTGTCCTGGATGGTGTCAAACTTCCTGAGTGTTGTTGGAGCTGCCCCCATCCAGGCAAGTGGGGAGTATCCCATCACACTCCTGACTTGTGCCTTGTAGACGGTGGACAGGATTTGGGGAGTCAGGAGGGGAGTTACTCACTGCAGTATTCCCAGCTTCTGGCCTGCTCTCGTAGTCACTGTGTTTATGTGGTGAGTCCAGTTGAGTTTCTGGTCAATGGTAACCCCCAGGATGTGGATAGTGGGGGATTCAGTGATGGTAACACCATTGAATGTCAAGGGGCAGTGGTTAGATTGTCTCTTATTGGTGATGGTCATAGCCTGGCATTTGTGTGGCACGAATGTCACTTGTCAACCCAAGCCTGGGTATTGCCCAGATCTTGTTGTATTGGAACACGGTATCTGAGGGGTCACGAATGGTACTGACCATTGTGTAATCATCTGCGAACATCCCCAGTTCTGACCTTATGGCTGATTATTGCCATGTTGTCACTATCACCTCCCAATGTATTCTGTAATTTAGGGAATATCTAATTGTCCTTGTCAAATCTGTACATCGTCGCACATCGAGGATGCTACACTCCAGAGTAAAGAAGGGCAGCTTCCTGAATCAGGTGCTGTCATTCTAAATAATTCCTGTGTTTGTTTCTCCCATCGGGTAGCCAATAGTGACTGACTGTGTCCCTGTGTGTGAGAGCAATCTGGGTGCTGTGTGGGGGTAGGGGGGTTCTCTGTGTGTGTCCTGTCCCCGTCCCTGTCCCTGTCCCCATCCCCATCCCTGCCCCCGTCCCTGTCCCCTGCCCCTGTCCCCCGCCCCAGCCCCTGTCCCCCCGGCCCCATCCCTGTCCCCTGCCCCTGTCCCCCCCCCCGGCCCTGTCCCCGTCACTGCCCCGTCCCAGTCACTGTTCCTTGCCCCCGTCACTGCCCCTGCCCCTGTCCCCATCACTGTTCCCTGCCCCTGTCCCCATC